GGAGAAGCAAAAACAAGCCAAGCCAAATGTTAACTATTCCTTTTCTGTATAAAAAATGATAAAAAATGTATATGAAACACTAACATTTTCTTCATATAATATGGAAGCCTCTCAATAAAGTCCAAAAGCCAAAAGTCGTAATTAGCAAGCTACTAAGTAAATGAAGAGAAAATAAAATAAAAGGAAATAAAATGCATAACAAAAAGCCATTATAAGAGGGGACTGGCGAACTGATTCTTGTGAGGATGGCATAACCACATGTGATCCTAGTCACCTCAAAAGATATAAACTTGAAAGATGTATTGATGACCCCCAACCCTACCCACCTGCCAATATCATTGCTAATGGCACACCATCTCCCAACCTCGCCTACATGTGCATCCTTCAAGACAACCCTTGTTTTAGTGCTCAAATCAAATCTTTCTCCATTTACCTCATCCCCCTTCTCCCCACTCCACCACCTCCCAAGAAGTCTACAATATTGTAGGTTGTAACTGTGACAAACCCATTTGGGACACATCAAACAAACCAAATTTAGATTTAAGAAACTTAAGAAGGGGTCTTAAACCATTACCAAGCTATGCCAAGCTATGCGCCTTTACCAAACTCAGAGTTGATTGAGATGCTATTCTCCACAAGCCAATGGATGAAGAAGACATCATTGAAATCATTCTTGATGGTGTTGGTAATGACTACAAACATATCATTGACAGAGTTAATCAATAAACTCCTATCACTATTGATGAGTTTCAAGAGAAATTATTCAACAGAGGAACCATTGGTCTTCACAAATAGCCTCCCCCTCCATCACTGCCTATAAGGCCAATCAATGGCCTCCTGCAATACTAGTGTTCACCACCACAACGTATCGCCCTATCTTTGTCCCATTGGACCATGTGCGATCATTCGTTCTAATGAACTTCCAACGTATCGCCCTATATTTGTTACTATCAAGCATGTGACATTCAAGATCACATAGTAAGTGATGCCCCACTTTTGACTAATTCTCCCAACCCAGCATCAATTTTTCATCATTAACGCCTGACTCCTAAATATCGTGCCCACCTACCCCATGGTAATTAAATGCCTACTATGCTACATTTAAGGTCACACAATAAGCGGTGTCCCATTTTTAGATTGATTATCCCAACCTGCCATCATTTTTTCATCATTAAAGCCCGATTCTTAAAGACTGTGCCCACCTACCACAAAGCAGTTGAATGCCTATTATGCTACAAAAAAACACTCTGGCCTTTCATGTCAAATCACAATCAACTTGAACAATCATTCACCTCAAATCTTACATGATGGCCTTGATGGAGTTATGATTGAAGATAACAGGAGTTTACCCATAGCCACACTAATTTAACCTATTTACCCTCTACCTTGCATAATTTTTCATTGAATAAGCTCTTGTGCATGCCTAGCATGAAAAAAACCTTATATTTTAAATATTTTGTTTTTCTAATCATGTGTCTATTGAGAGACCTTGTCAACTATTTTTTTTGTGTGAAGGACCTAACAACAAGAGCAATCCTTGTAACAAGGCAAACTAAATTAGGTTAGATAATGTGTATGAATCACTAATCTCTTCTCTCCAATCACCTTCAATTATTGCTTTTTTGTGTCAATAATACTTCATCTAAGTGGCAGCATAGATTCAAGTCATCAATCAATTCACTGCTAGCATGTATTGTTTCTCATTTTAAATTAGATCTATAATCTCCATTGTTATCAAAACTTCATTGTAATGGATATCAACAAAATAAAATCCATAAAATCCTTATCATCTACCTCCACTGTTATATGTTCTTAATTGGTTTAAATATTTTTCTCGGATATGTACCTCACTCATGCAGTCATATGGCTTCAAATATGATATCATTTTTATAGATCATTAATAAAATACATCAAGAACTATCCACTTAATAAAAAATCTCATATACATGATTTCTTCATTAACTTAAACGTCATGATGAAAATTAGCTTTGATTGCAAAATTAATACCTTATGCTTAGAAACTGGTGGCGGGTTTCAACCTCTAGCCACATTTCATTCCACCAATGGCATCTCTCATCCCATTTGTCCACCACACATACCAAAACACGATGGCATCTCTCGTCTCATTAGTCTCTCGTCTGAGATGCCCATTCCGCTTCCCAATACAACAACAACAAAACCTTTATCCCATTAAGGGGTCGGTTACATAAATCCTTTTCCTCCATTGTGTCTTATTTAGTGTCATATTTTCATTTAGGCCCTGTTTGGCGGAGCGGCATCGCGGCGGCGCAGCAGCCCAACGCGATCCTAAGGCGGTTGGCGCGGCATTGCAACAGCGGCGTCCCGCGATTTCGATGGAACGCCGACCGCGAACAGTAACCCGCTTCTCAGCTTTGTCACTCGACTTTTTCCCTCGTTACCCTACCTGAAACATTTCGCCACCATGAAAGCAAAATTGCTCGCGATCTCTCCCCTTTCCTCCTCTTCTCCGACTGGCTTATGGTTTCTATTTGCTTATGGTTTCTTTTGAAAGGTTTGCTTATCATTTCCTGGAAAGTGATTCACTACTTACACTGTTCTAAAAAACCAATTTCAACTCCCACAATAGATTCGTTTTTCACCTTAATAAGCTCATTGAGGCAGTTGACCAATTAATGGCAGACGCAAGACCAATTTCAGCTTCTTCTCCAAAAGACCAATTTCAGCTTCTTCTCCAAAAGACTTATTCCGTTGGAGAGACAGTTCGGAGGATTCCCCTGAAGACGGTGATCGGGAATAGAGAACATCACTCAGGAAAAGCCTGGCGCGCGAGCTACACCGCCTGAACGTTAAAAATAATATAATCATTTTATTAATTATCATTTTAATAGTTTTAGATTTTTTTTTGCACTCTTGATACTCACTGTGAAGTGAAGTGTGTATATATAATTATGTAATGTTTTTAAGTGAATTTTTATCTTAAAAGCATTAAATTTATGGTTATCACAGTTTTGTTAAGCACAACATTACAAAACATGGGCAAAATGATCATTTTTCCAGAAATAATTATCTCAGAACTGTTTTCACAAAGCTGCCCCAAAACAGACTGTCAGCTTCCTAGCAGCAGATTTCTGGAGAAACGCAGCTGCAGCTGAAAAGTTGAGAAACTACAGCTATGACAAACAGAGCCTTAATGCTAAAAAATTAAGATCATTTTTTATACAATATACCCAAGTCATCCTAGGTTACCTCTGTCTTTCTTAACATAAGTCGAATCTAAAACATCTACTCTTCTAATCAGATCATCAGATGGTCAACGTTCCACTTCCCAATAGCACACATAAATTTGTTGTAACAATTTACCAAAAAAAATAATCTCCCCAAACCCAGGCTCTACTTCTTTTGTGAAAATGAAAAACTCTTTGGCTTCCCTCCCAACCACTCACAACTTTAAGTGTTCAATTACCTTCACTAAACATGACTTAACTCATACACCACATGTAAAATTGACTCTCGCTTCAAAACATTTACTTCCTGAGCTATTTTCTCACTCAAAGTGTCTATCTTTGTCTCAATACACCACATCCAAAATATGTCACTTGGAATGTCCAATTTGTTGAGTCTGTTTTTGCCTCTGCATTTCTCTCCAATCTGATGACAACTCTAAGGAAATAATATCCTCATGGTGTTCTCCCGTCTTTATTTCCTTAGGACTTCCTTCATACATGAGATCCACAAAATCTCTCTACAATGCCATTATGTATAGCTTATACACAATTGAAACAACCCAAACATATGCCCTTTCTTCTGCACACCAATAGTCACTAATTAAGTCCTCACTTATCACCCGATTAACTCTAGTCACATAAAAACCACTTACCTCCCTCCACAACTAACCCAAAAACATGTTTAACAGCAAGAACATCCACTTAATTTCCCTTCCAACCCAACAACACTCACCTATTGACCTCTCAACCCAAAAATAATATTCATAAATTGATCTAAGAACTCACTCTCACATCCAAGCTAAACCAATCACTTTATCTTAAACCAACGTTATAGCACATGCACTCAATGATTATAACTAGCATAAAGTGAGGTCAAATGATCCTCGCACCAATCAACATTCTTGACCGTGTGACACTGTGCTCACTGATCCCCCAAATTACTAAATTATTATGGGCACTCTTAAGCATTTAACTCTTCTGCGCCGAAAAATCACCTTTGTAGGCAATAAAGTTTTTAGCTTATATAATTCCTCTGTATTGATCATTGCAATAGATCTAAATTACTGTTTGGATTTCTATACATCACTAGCATTATAGTTCGTATTGATTCACCACTTCAATTTCAAGCACTATCTAATGTTGACTCGGCATGCGAAGGCTGAAACCCAATCTATTGAAGCACAACAACAACAACAAAGCCTTAATCCCACTACGTGGGGTCGGCTACATGAATCCTTTTTCTCCATTGCGTCCTATTTAGTGTCATATTTTCATTTAGTTCTAGTAAATTAAGATCATTTTTAATACAATAAGCCCAAGTCTTCCTAGCTCTACCTCTGCCTTCTTTCTTCTTAACACAAGTCGAATTTAAAACATCTACTCTCCTAATCTATTGAAGCACCAAGGACAAAATATTGTAGCCTGCTTACTTGTTGAGACTGAATATCATTTGGCTGCCATTATTAATGCTAAGCTTCATCGAATATGCTCTTCTCAAAGAACATGACATTTGGCTTCTTCAATCACCAGTGAAATTTATTCGGTTTTTCTTTAAAATAGGTCTCCTCTTTAATAATTTCATATGCATTTTGTCAGGCTTAGCTTGAATTATGGCAAGTTTATTGCAATCTAAGTAATTCTGATAATGTATCTTGCCATATATTCCTTTCAATTCAATTAAGTCCAAGCCTGATAATTACTACCAATCACTGGAATCCTATACCTACAAAAATATATATAGCCCAAAAAGCAAAAACAGAAACATAAATTAGAACGATGCCAGAACTAACAAACCTGCAAATAATTGAGGCCCCCATCGGAAGGGTTCCACCTACTGATCGCTTCCCATTCTTTGATAGCGCCATAGAATACCTTCCAATAACAAAAAGCAGAACACGGAAATAAGTGAAACTAGCTCTGCTAACTAGGAGGAGGATGTAATCATCCCAAATAGCGAAGAGAGAGATGTTCGAAACCAGATTTTAACTTACAGCGGGTACGTTGGATGGCTCAATCTCAGCAGAGAATTCTTCGGACGATGGAATGCGATGGAAATGGCGGATTCTTAGAGCTTCTTCTACCTGAGCCATTAACAGTTCCGATCGCACGGGAAGCCCTGCGAGCCGACTTCTCCTTCCTTCAACCAGGTAACCTAACCCTGTTAGTAAAAACGTTCCGGCCTGACATGAACGAAGCCCATTTTGAAAACATTAATGGGCTCAAAGAGCCCATTGGCCCAACAGATTGCCTTCAAACTCTAGAATCCTCTGGAACGCTCGTGGCCTTCGGAAGCACCACGTACCGAGCTCAGCTGCAGGCGAAACAAACGGCCACGTAACTCCGTTTGTTCTCAGCTACGGGGAGCTGACGTGGCCTCTCTTCCACCGCGCCAAACAACCGACTTGTCACCCCCACTTCCACTATTTATTCCTTCAGATGCTCCATCGCTCCTCACACCAACCCAGCTTTCTTCATTCCTCTACAGAAGTTCTCTCAAAGTTTCTGATAAAGAAAAATGGCTGTAGTGTTAGCAAACATGCCGTCCTACACCGCAGGAATGACGCCACGTGGCATCATCGGCGGTAGCGCTCCATCTTCATCTCTTGCGTCTCCGCCCTCATTGCGCCGCCGTAGCAAAGCGGCCGCCGGTGGCCGTTACTTCCGGTGCGAGGCAAAGGTGATTTTGTTTTTTTAAGTTCTGAAATGCAGTTTCTTTTGCGTTCATGCCCCTGCTTTGTGTTTCTTAAATTTCAGATTGTATATAATCTGTTCCTTGGTTTTACAGATCAAACCTCAGGATATTGTGCCCGAAGCCGACGTCGACCTATCCGAAGCAAAAGAAAAACTCAAGGAAATTTTACTAACCTTGTTAAGAAAACAGATCTAAAGTGAAAATTAACTGCGCAACATTAAACAAAAGAAAAAAGATAATTTTTATTATTTGACAGCCAAAATTATTTTATTTTTGCAAATGAAAAGTAGGGATACTAATAATTAAAACCATAATATGAAATAATTGTCTCACAAAGGTGGGTTCTGCACATGCAGGCAAAAGGCAGAACCTTTTGGGAAGCTCTGGCTTTTGATGGACCGGGTCCAGAGAGGATCAACGGCCGGCTTGCTATGCTTGGGTTTGTCTCCGCCCTAGCTGTCGAGGTAGCGCGGGGACAAGATCTGGCGGACCAGCTCGCTAACGGTGGCGCGTTGTGGTTCATCGGCACGGCGGCGTTGTTCTCTGTGGCTTCACTGGTTCCGCTATTTCGCGGCGTAGATGCACCGGAGCGGTCTAATGGGCCCATGACTGCTGATGCGGAGCTCTGGAACGGTCGGTTCGCTATGCTTGGCCTTGTTGGACTTGCTTTTACGGAATTTCTGAAGGGTGGGCCGCTTGTGTAGGATTTGTATTTTAGTTTCTAAACGAGTGCACTGATGGGACCGCTGATGCGGAGGTTTGGAATGAGCGGTTCGCTAAGCTGAGCCTCGTTGGGCTTATTTCGTTGTGCTTCTTTCATAGAGGTTCTAAAGTGTGGGCTGCTTGTGTAGGCTTTGTATATTTGTTGTATTAATGAACTGTGTAATATATTAAAGCAAATCTGATGCACAGGGTTGAATAATATTCTTGTTTTCCTTCTTATATAAGAAATAGTCTAAACTTATCCTTTGCCTTTAACACTTCATGATGTAATTATAACAACATGAAATAAGTGACTTTATACATCTAATAACAAGAAAATAGAGGGAAAAAAAGGAGAGAATTTCGAGTGTAATTCTTGGACCATGTAATGTAATGTGTTAGGTTCTTGATGAACAATCCTCTCGTCTTGAAGACCTGTCAGTTTGGTCGGTGCAGACAATCAATCATGCTCGAGTTTGGGATTTGTTCAGCTTTAGATCAGTCGCCCTTAGGTGCTAGTGGCTCACCCCACTTATTTGGCTCAAAATGATTTTCTTTTGGTGTGCTTGCGTCGCCTTTTGCGTCTTCTGAAATCGTCTTTCAGTCGCCCCTCTTCATATGATCAGGTAGCTCATTCTTAACTATTATTATTTGGTGCATGTTTGTGGTGGCCCCAAGATCACCTAGCAATGTCTTTTGATTGCCGATCTTCATTAATCAAGATCAACGGTTGAATCATTGTCTAAGGAGCTAATTTTTCTTTATACAAATATATTGTCTAAAATAAGTTAATATCTCATTTAAAAAAAAAATTCAAAATTTTGAAACACGAATATTTTAAAGAAACTTAATGAATTTATTAGTCAAATATACTGTTTGTCATAAATGTTTTTTTTTTTAAATTAAAAAATATATATATATAATGAGCATAAAATGTAGTTGAAACCTGGCCTTAATGAGCACTGTTACACTGAATAAAATCGTTTTAACAAGTTGGGATGCTTCTTCGACATCTACAAAGATTTGAAGTAATCTTATTTTCCTTTTCTCCTCACCAATATTTCATAGGGGCATTTACATACATACAACTCAATTACTACATAGCTCACAACTCACAAAACTCCTAACTCTGGCCTCTGTGGTCTATAGGCATTATTCTAGCTCATTATTATGACATATGTGACCAATTATGATTATGTGGCCCACAGCTTATTGAGCTCTCAACTCTAACATTTGAGACATACAGATTTTTATGTAGCTCACCACTGCGACCTATGCACCCAACTAAGGCACTCTGTGGACTACGAATGTTATTGTAGCTTATCATAGTGTCTTATATTACCAAATAAAACCTATGTGGTCCATAGCTCCTGCAACTCCCAATTCCTGCATTTGTGGCCTACTGACGTTATTACAACTCACTACTACAACCTACATAACCAACTATGATTTATGTGGTGCACAACTCTTCTGGCTCTTTACTACGACCTCTGTGGCTAACCGAAGCAACTCAAACAATCATCTACAATCTAGATGACCAACTACAACAATGAATTTCAACTACAGCCTTTACGACTAGCTGATGCTGCAACCATTGTCTACAACATTCATGTTGGGTTTCTGTCTTCATAGTAATCGAATATGGACTTTGCGGCCCGTCATAGATATTATTACAGAACTATAGTTGTATATCAAGATTGTAATTTTATCTTCTCTAATTCAAGAGGAGAGTGGACATTATGAATTATTTCAACTGAGCTAGACCCCATTATTTTTTCCCTTTCTAGGGGTTTTCACATAAAAATTGTGATGTATCCTCCCACAACTTTTCTTTATTTGTGGGTATGTGTTGGATCTTTCTCTAACACTACGATATTAATTTATTACTCTACCGTCACATATCTTCTGACACACTATAGTTATTTATCTTTATATTTAACATATAAATTTCGTTTTTAACATTTATACCACCCAAATATTTTATATCATATAAAACATACATTAATTTTGGAATTTAAAAAGTGAAATATACCTTTCTATGCATATATATATATATAT